ATCACCTCACACTCGTTCGTGAGAAGGTTACCGTCCAAGTCCTTGCACATATCGGCTTGCGGCACGTAGCCTTTGCGCGAACTATTTAGCTTCTCGTAGAACTTCCGTGTGTCATTTACGCGGTACAGATTTTCCATCGCCTCGCGATCTCGGTCTTCCTGCTGACGCTTCTTCCTTCGGAAAACCGAGTTTTGTCTGTTCCGCGCTTGTCTGTATCGCTCCACATTCAATCTCGTGCGGTGTTGCAGCATTCTCGCCCGTGCTGCATTCTTCTCCTCTACTAACAGTTTGCATTCACCGTCAAACCAGTCATTTCTTCGGTCCGGGATTGCAGTACCTAGTGCCGGTGCAGCAGTACTACCTATGGCTGAATGGATGTCCCTCCAGCCATCTTCAAGAGAAGCTGCGCCAAGCTGCTCTTCCGTGGGTAGTGCAACTTCCAGCTGCTGCACGTTGATGATGCGGTAGTTGAAGAAACGGCACTTAATCCTCAACTTGCACATCCTCGCGTTGATCGGCTGCCAACCAATCACGCGTTGGCGCATCTTACCAAGCACTACAAAGCCGGTTCCCAGCTCGTTGGTGGTGCCACAGCTCTGGTAGAAAGTAGCCGCTCGATGCCCGCTTTTCCATACCTTTTGCCCCGTCGAGCAAAGTTCCTGCAGTGCTACGACTTCGAAGTTGCGTGGTTGAAGTTCGTCATAGATTAACCTATCGCAACCCGGGAAGCCGAGCGATTTGCAGTTCCATGTTCCGAGTTTCCAATCGTAGTCCTTATTTCGTCACGTAGGTCTGTGCCGATTGTTCCGATCCGTATTTCTTTCTTCGGTATTTGCAACTTTGTTTTTTTTTTCCAGGGCGGCTTGTTGGGCCTGCCCCAACCCCCTGTCTCACCGGAGGACCATCGTGCACAGCTCTGTTTAGAGTCCCACGCTGGCACTAGGACGGTGATCAGCCGCTCCTAACATGGAGAACAGACGCCGTTTTGAGCCGCACCTCCATGGTGAACAGACGCTCGGGTTTGGTGAAGCATTTCCTCTATCACCGTACTATGGTTACCGCGCCAGTGTTCGCGTCGCACCTCTTCACTTTGCTATTGCCGGACTGGCAACATTGCCCAGGCTACGCCACCCAGCTGTGTCCATGTTTCAGCTGGTAGTCTTTTGTTATCATATGACTCGAGGAGGCGTGAAGTAGGAACTTGTGAGGACCAGGGCTAGGTATTCCGCTCCTTCCAGGTTGCCAACTCACCACTTTGTAGCCCACAAGTCCCGCTTCTCAATTCTTTTCCAACCATACACCCGATCTTTCTTTTCCTTTACGCTCTTTTTCGGCGGAACCGAAAAGCAATCATCCGATTTTCACTTCGCTACCAGTGAAATATAGACTGTAGCTGAATGTTATACACTGAGAAATTTACATGTTTTTGTATTGTTAAGTTATGTATTCAACATGAGGCTTATATCTACTACAAGGTGGATCTCAGAATTTCTAGTCCACGGGGGACTGTTTAGGGCCATCATAAGGATCTTGTTCTGGATCCTTTGGAGTTTAATGTGATGGCATTTGGCGCAACTCTCCCAGATTGGCATCCCGTATTCTATTACGGGAAGAATGATTTGTTTGTAGACAGCAAGCTTATTTTTCCTGGATAGAGTAGACCTCCTGTTGATGAGTGGATACAGTGATCTTATCAAGATGTTACACTTGGTATTGGTTTTGTCACCTGAAAATCAGCTTGCTGTTTAGTGCTAAGCCGAGGTAGGCTACCTCTTTCGACCATTCCACCAACCGGTGGAAACTAACGATTTAAAATTGGCTCACTTCTTGACTAGCCTATTGATCTCACGCAAATCGATTAACATACCCCATTCTAGTCCAAATTCTAGTACTACACTATGTTTGTTTTGATTTGCTATTAAAGTTTGACAGAAAAAATGAGGGGTTTGTGGATTTTCCTATGTTTCGAGGGGTGAATCGATTAGCTTGGGACCGAAGATAGTACCAGAGCTGAGCCAAAAAGTTGAGCACGTTTCTTCGGGACCTACTAGTCTTAGAGTTACCTCTATGATTCCACCACTGTGCCGTTCAGGCAGATCTTATTATTCACCAACGGAACAAGTCTGGGAGCTTTTGAGTGTGGAAATATGGTAACCTTGGTCTTTGCCACGTTAATACGGATCTTCCAGCTGTTGAAATATTCAGACAGGACGTCCAGGCCTCTCTGAAGTTTGGCAGTCAGAGCTCCGATGACCCTACCTTTGTAGACGTTGGATGAGTCATCTGCGAACAGAGACAACGATCCACCATCAGGGAGAGCCGGCATATCGGAGGTGAATAGGTTGAATAGAATGATGTGATGCCATTTAGAAAGACTCGGAACGTCCTGTCCGATAGGTAGTTGTTAATTATATTCACTAGGAAGATTGGAAGACCGTACTGCTGCAATTTGAACACCAGGCCATCATGCCAGACATTGTCGAACGCTTTTTCAACGTCCAACAACGCCATGGCAGTTGTTTTCGAAACAGACTTGTTCCGTCTGAGAATGTTTGTTACTCGAGTCAGCTGGTGGACGGTCGAACTACCTTTCCGTAAACCAGATGTTAGGAGCCGGTGGTAGACTGCTTTTTCGAACAGTTTTGATAACCCTGAGAGCGAGCCTGAGAGAAGGCTGATTGGTCGGTAACTTGAAAGAGAGGACGGATCCTTCCCTGGTTTCCGGATGGGAATGACTTTAGCTGACTTCCAGCACGAGGGAAAGTAGCCAAGTCGGAGACACAGATTACGGAGTCTTATAAGGTCTTGGTAGATCTGTCAAGGTTCAGAGTATTGCTCACCTGTCTGGATACTGGCACGTGTTGTTCTCTGGCCCGGGATATCACCTCCCCGATGGAACGCAGACACCGGTCAACGTCTTCGGGCGTCTCCGGAAGGACACCGTAGTCGACAGTGGAGTCGACACAGTGATGGAACTGATCCCAGCTGACGCAATGGTAGTTACCCCGGGAAGCGTGGAATCGGTTGACGGATGAGCCCACATCGGCTACCACCGGATAGTGGTCCGAACTCAGCTTTTGGTGGGTCACAGGTTGCGAGATGTTGTCTCGCATGTTGCTGACGAAGATGTCGATGGTGGAGTGTACGCCAGACCGGCTCAAGCGGGTGGGAGAGTCCGGCGCTAGTATGGTGTAGTGAGCCTCTTGCAAGTCGTCGTTCAGGATTGTGCCATTTTGGTTGCGTCGGCTGTTACCCCAAGCCTGGTGTTTGGCGTTCAGGTCACCAGCGATGATGTACTTCTCACGGCGTCGAGTTAATCTGATGATGTCTCTCCGCAGGTCTGCTGTCGACCCGTCCCTGATGGTGACTTGTTTCTGACAGTAGGCCGCAATGATGGTAATAGGGCCGACAGGAGTGGAGACTTCCACACCCACCGCTTCGATCATCTTCAGCTGGAAACTCGGTAGCAGTCGACTGCCAATATTTCTCCTTAATGCAATAGCCACTCCTCCTCCGCAGGAGCTGGTCCGGTCTAGTCTTACGGGTTGAAAATCGGGGAGGTGAACATTTATCACCATCTTCAGGTGTATTTCGGTCATGACGGCGATGTCTATGCTATGTTCATTGAGGAAATCAACGAATTCAATGATTTTGCTCTTGAGCGAGCAAGCGTGCCAGTTGGCTATTTTGATGGCTTCACGGTCCATACTTTTCTACGAGGGTCATAACTGCACGAAGCTGTTCATGTAGTGTCTTGGTGGTGCGCAAGATTATGATCACCTCAGTCACGACGATCACTAATTCGTCGCTTGTGAGTGGAGAATTTTCTTCTGACTCACCTGACACAGCACGGGCGTACAGTAATCCCGGGGCAGTAGAGCCATGGCTCGGCTGGGCCGCAGCATCAGTGAGGCGATGCTAAGCTGAACGGTGTCTGGGACCCGCTTGATCTGATGATGGATTCGCAACGGGGGGAAGCGGTGCTAGGTTCGGGACCATACGACGGGCCGGAAGTACAGGAACCGTGTCCTTGTTGACAATAGGAGCACGATTATTGCGGTGGCGACCAGGTTGGTTCCTCGTGGAAGCCTGTTGTCGGATCTGGATGAAGGCCGCTCGCTTGGGACATCTATCGCTGCCCAGATGGTTGGAATCACAGTTCACGCACTTAGGTTCAGCTTCTTCTTCCTTCTTGAAGGCGGTAGTATTGTGAGCCCCAGCACATTTGCCACAGCGAGCCTTCATGTGACAATTCTTCGTACCGTGCCCAAATGCCAGACAATTAGTGCACTGGGTCACGTCACGGTTCCGAGGGCGATACTGCTCCCACTGAATCACGATGTTGAACAGCGTGCGAATCTGCCACAGAGCAGCCACACCGGTGGCGCCCACATCGAAGTGCACCAGGTACAACTGGTCCCGGAATGCACTGGTTGCATCACGTCTCGCAATGGGAAACATGTTGATTGGTTGCAGACGAAGGTGCTCCAATTCCGGTTTAATGTCCGCAACAGGGAGATTTGGAAGACCACGAGTATTTGAGCACACCGCCGTTCAATCTTACCCAGTGACAGAGTAAATTTTTATTGTTATCTCTTTATTTTCAAGGAAATATTACTCAATTTTCATAAAAACTGGGTTTACTCATAGCTCTGAGCAGGCATGGAAAATCATTTACATTCATTTGCCTTTAACTTTTTTCATCAATATTTTCCGTAAAATGTATCTCTTATGCATGATAAACCAGAGCGAACATAACATAAGAGATACAGGTTTGAGTAATTCACAGAAGTTGTAGCTAATATTAAAACCTACAAAAGCTTCATTCATCGTTTTATAAAATTTTGTAGATGAAAAAAGTTAGTGCAAATGAATGTAAATGAATACACGAAATGAATATAAATGATTTTCTATGCCTGGCTCTGAGTAACCTCAGTGTTTATGAAAACCGAGTATGCTTGTAGTAAGGACATTTCTTTCCACGTTAAAAATAATGAAAATTATTTGCAAAACTAGACTTTAATTTATTCTTGTTCTAACATGATACTTCTGACGGGTTATTTTATTTACTTTTTACACAGTTCTGTTGAGTTATTCATTCAACATATTTCTTTTAAATTTCATATATTAAAACATAATACTACAGCTTGTGGATATCCCTTTCCCATACAACATCCGGTTTTAAATTCTAAGCGTACAACTGTAAAATAGTGTGATTGATTCTCTCCCAGACATCCCAACTAGCTTGGCAGGGAATTCAAAATTTCTAACTGAAAGAGCTAAACTTTGAGCAAAACAAAAACCACATTCTTGTTTTTGGGAACAGTTGTGCAGCTAAGTATCATGACCAATTCCTTCTACCCTCGTTCTATGCTTGTCTGTTTTCTTTTTATTAAATGCATTGAATTACCCTTTCCTTTGGCTCTCCTCTCCGCGTCGAAGCAGAAACTCTTGTCCTTTCGTATCTAATATCACGTTGTACCTGATTCCTGGTGTTTGACTTGAAACAAAACGTAGTAATTATATGGCTCAATTCAAAAACCACAAAAAAAAACACGACACAACGAATGATACCTACGCACAAACAAGACAACTTCTTGATTGTCGTCAATCTGCTTTCTAGAGTTCGTTATCAAACGGAATAGAGAAGAAGTTAATGAAATAATTTAGTAACGACCGTGCTTTGGCCCAATCACAATCGATATCAATATGATATCAGCTTAATTGTATAGGCAGTCGGTTTAGAAAGAAGGCAACGCGACGGGGTACGATGCGGAGAAGCGGATGAAGCTCAAATATAATGAAACTGCTCCACCCTATGCTTCCCGGGCAGCGCACACCGGCCACATTCCCACTCAGTAATTGTCCTATGATTTGAATCAATGTCTTTTTTTCCCGCACGCTGACTGGCGTTTGATCACAGTTCCGTACTTCATTTTAATATTTGAGATTTCAACAATCGAAGAAAATGTAGGAAATAAATCGCAACAATAAACAAAAGTATTCCTTCGTTTTCGAACAAAAATATACTTTGCCTTGATGTGTTGTTCACTAATATGCTTTGCTCATGCTTACTTTAAAAAAGTTGGTGCACTCTTGGAGTTACGATTTAAAAATTTTGAGGATGTATTTTTACTCCTAATAAAAATAGTAATTTTAAAACCGATTCCCTAATAAATTCATAAAGAATGAATTTAAAACATGCAATTTAAATTTCCCGGCAAATCTCCATAACAAAGGTGTGCAAGCCTGCTCTACAACGCCATCAAGCGAATTTAACCGTTACCAATTACTTAAATAGCTCATAGAGACGCCAAGCGCAGTACGAGGCTGCTAACAGTGTTACGACCCGATGGCTATATTTGGCGCATTTATTGCTGGCATAGACTAACACTATTGGCGAAGAGAAATCGTTCACGTTCGGCACTTTCGACAGGCTCTTGGCGTTTTTTTCAACCTAGCAGAAATGGGATGGGAAGATTTGTTGTTATCGGTTATAAATTGAAATGGGTTCATAATCTACTTACTTGGTATTGAACACAGGGATCGCAGGACCACGATATTGTATACAAGCCGGTACAGAATATCGATACCGCACAGAGGGGTGTACAGAACAGTAACCTATCGCGCCAGATCAGTCCTGAAAGATGAGAATGAAAAATTTAAAAAATCGTTAGGCTTTTGTTGTAATAAAATTGAATAATTTATGTAGAAAATGTTTGAAGTATCAGTGGTCGATCACCTATTCAAAAAGACCAATGTCCATTATTCAAAAGAATTAACAGTCAATTATATCTTTGGTACGATACTTTAGTACAAAAGCTAAAAACAAAGTCTTTAAGAGCGCAAAGTATAAATATGTATACCATTTTTTCTCAAAATCAAAAGAAGTGCTCCGACCGAATCCATTTTTCCATTTCATTTTTATCTTCATCCGTAGGCCAAATTGAAACCGATTAAATAGCTTACGGACTATCAATACTCGTGCGCACATAATGGACTATTGTGCCCCTTTCCCTCTACGCCTAGAAATTTAACATAAAGATGTACATATGACAAACCCTATGAAACACAAAAAGGCATAAACTACGAGTTGCCACCTACACATGGAGATGCTGCTTTTGTATCGCAAGTTATTTTCCAAGTGATTGTAAATTCCGGAAAATCACTGCTATCAGGTTTTTCAGAGAATAAGGTTTCACACGGATTCAAACCCGTCAACCTTAAAGCCCTCTAGTTAAAGTATGGACGAATGTCACCACAAAACTGAAAAAAAAAACTGTTCCAATCGAGCAAAGCGGTGCATTTTGACGGTTCGATTGGAACAACTTTTGACAGTCGTCCATACTGTTACTGTAGGGCTTTGGGCAACCTTCGTTCTAAATTGATTCAAGCGAAATTCTCTGTCAAGCATTGAAACCAAGATATAAAAACCACAAAACTGAGAAACACGATCCCATCGTTCCTTTCACCAACCTAAAATGAAGCAAATAAAAAAACATTCACTTACCGGCCGCCACCGACGCCACACCACTGATGAGGGCCGTCTTGTGCAGACAGTTTCCAACGGCAATCCATCGTCCCGTTTCTTCACCGAGCCGCGATGGCTCGATGATGATGTAGTCTGCCTTGGCGTACAGAGCCTTGTCCAACTCCAGCTCGAACGTTTCATGTGCATTCTCGCCTTCGTAAACCTCACGGATCACGTGCACTGTGGGAGATTTCAGTTCGCTGCAAAGTGGTCGAAAAGAGGAAGATATTAGCCGAAGAATCACAGTTACCACGCTGCCGGTCATTCAACGAAATAAATGCTACAATTTTGAACTACCACGTAGAAAAGCAACATAAAAATAAATAAGCTAAATTTTAACAGATTTCATATCATTATTTTTGTTCGTTTCGCAAAACAGATTAAGACCACGGTGCCAATCCGTTCCAGTCACCATTGGTATGGGGATGGGATAATCACTACTCCAATTGCGATATAGCTTCTGATTGATGAAAACAACTTTAAAAAATGCACTCACTCGATCGGGCTGAGACGTTTTAGTTCTTCAAAAGCAGACATTGCATGTGAACGCTCTCTCTAGGTATATGGGAAGCCAACGGAATTTCCAGCCGCGGTCGCTAATTCTCGTTCGCTTTTTTTATTTGTCCAAATTTGGGTGGATGCCGAACTAATTACTGCGAGGCGAGGATAGAACGAAGTGTGCATCGGAGTGTAACGCGGGTGGTAGAAAAATAATTGATTCATTATAATAGGTACTGAAGCAATATCACGGTCGTTTTACAGGATGATGAAAATATTATCAAGCAAAGCTCATAGGCATATTCTTGGCAGCATTTAAATGTCTTTCTCAGAATCAAAGAAGCTCATATTGTTTACTATATGTTCAATCATAATTAAAACAAGATAAAACCTACATTCATTGACTTGGCTCCGATTATCTTTGTTTGACTAAAACGAACGAAACTAGAAACGATAATTATTGATCAACGACAAGAATTTATTGTTTTGTAGATTTAAGATTGCAATCTTACAAAAATGTTGATAAGAGCAAGCAAACATTCGCAAGCCCCCAGGCCCCATGATATGGTAAGTTCAAGGTTAAGGTCTACTTCACTCTCGAATTCTTCTGTACTCTGTTTTGCATGGGTTTCGTCTCAAATTAATCTTACTGTTCTTTGCTTCGCAAACTGAAGTTTAATTATGGATTTGTTCCGTTCCTCCTATTGACAATCCTGCTGCTGCTGCAGCTGCAACTTCCAAGCATCATTCTACAAGTTTTGGGGATTACACAATATTGTTTTCCTTTTTATCATCTACCACACATTCGCATACTGCCCAATCAGCAAACATATACGTCTATGCGCCGCGTCCTACCGCAAGCACCTTCAAGCCCTCAACCACAATCCGCACCGTCCCCTCCCAAACCCCTCCGGAAGGAATCCAACTGATTATGTAAAAAATTTGGAACATTCTTTTCGAAGCACATTCACTCCTAGGAAAGATACGCATTTTCCGGTGCACTATTGTGGCTAACTGCAGCTGCAAATCAGGAAAACAACCGAGAACAAAGCAAAATACATTACCTCTGTTCTCGTTCGGTTGATTCATCGGACATTTTTAGGCTGGCTTGCGCTTATGGAAAAGATGGAAACTTGTTTTCACGGGACTCTGGAACTCGCGGATTTTCTTGCTTCTCACCGCAGCACACACACGAAACGCACTGTGACGGCTGACGGAAGCAAAGCACAACCACACGCAGAGGGATGAAAAGCAAACCGACTGTCATTTTCTGACAGATTGCAAAAACAAACATTCTAGACTAACATTTGAAAAGGGCGTAATTCCAAAATGACCATATCAAGAAAATCGCTTCTGAATTTTGTTGACCTAAAAATTAATCCTATTTCACGACTTTCCATTTTCTGGTTGATTTTATAAGCTTGACATATAGTTAATAGTGTAATCTATCATCGTGCATCACTTAAAACTCAAAAAAAGTTTTCTTTGTCGTGAAATTGAGAAGAAAACATCATACGCCCTGATAATTTCATACATGTTGTTACCCCCCAGATCTTCCACCCTTTGAACTGCCAACACTGGTGATACGCCGTGGAAGTACACCCTCGGGATTTTTTGTTTGTTGTTCCGCCTTGGTTCTTCGTTCGCAAATTTTGTGAGAGTGGAATTACGCCCGGAGATTTTTTGGTCTGCTTTTTGTTCGTTGTTTAAACGTGAACTATCAATCGGATGCATTTCAAATGAATCGGGCGTGACTAGATACTACAGAATCAAAACATTTGGCATATTAAAACCATATAATTCGTAGTTCTGGTGCAAGGCGTAACAACCAGATTTATCATAGATTTGAAAGTTGGAAATACGCCATGTAAGAAGAAACGTTTTTGATAATTTGAATGATATTTTCTTCTACTTTTTCGTATTTATCGAGTAGTTTGTGAACTATTCTCTCTATATGTGGCAAAATATGGTTTGTTTACATTTTGGCTCTTCCGCCCCTTTCAAATGTTAGTCTAGCATTGACCTTTCCAACGTTTATAACACGCACACTTGAGTAATCTCATTTTCAAGTGTAAAGTTTATTATCTCACGGTTAGAAAAAAGAAAACAAAATTAAGTTTATTTCACCCCCCGCATAAACGCGAACCATAACATGAGCTTAAAGAAAATGGTTAAAAATTGTTTATAATCCCTGCTAAACTTTAACTAAAATGGTTATGGAACTTTACATGAACGTTTGTGTGATAAAGTTTGAACCTTATGTATTAAGGTTTTTTGGAAGTGAACCTTACAAATAATGGGTTGTTAAGAACCATTACCATTCCAAATTCTTGTTTTCATCATACATTTTTGGGAAAGGAATTATATTGGAACCAATTTATTTATGATTTGAGAACTTTAATGGTAATGGTAATGTTAGTCGGTAAGGTTCACAGATGATTTTGTAATATCCATCAACTTTATGTGGAATATATCGCGAATAGGTTGTCTGTAAATTACTGATTACCAATTCGCGATATATTCCACGTAAAGTTGACCGATAATACAAAACCATTAATGAAACTTACTGGCTACCATAACCATTACCAATTCCTTTCCCAAAAATGTATGTTGAAAACAAGAATTTGGAATGGTAATGGTTATTAACAACCCATTATTTGTAAGGTTCACTTCCAAAAAACCTTAATACATAAGGTTCAAGCTTTATCACACAAACGTTCATGTAAAGTTCCATAACCATTTCAGTTAAAGTTTAGCAAGGATTATAAACAATTTTTAACCATTTTCGGTAAGGTAAAGTTATGATTCGCGTTTATGCGGGCCATAGGTACTAAAGTGTGGGAAGCCCCAAGTAAGTATAGTCCCATGTACTCAATTTTGAGTACTCGCATCGCAGGGATGGGTAGAAATTACTAGACGGTTAAAAGAAATGAATGATGTTTAAAAAAAAGAATTAGACCGGACTCGAACCATGAACGTACAGAGAAAAAAAATACCCTTAATTTAAATTCTTTTTACTTAATTTTGGGTAATTTTGAGTTTTGCATCCCACTCTCACTTTTTGTTGTTGTCAAAAACGGAACGAGAGATTCGCCTTTCTCATGACTATCGTTCAGTAAGCTACTAGCACAGACAAACAGACATAACACTCGCAAGTTATTCATCGAACAAGCATTTAACGGTCAATTTAAAAGTATCGTAGTTGGTAGTACCACCACCTGTGGCGCGCATAGTCAATTCCATGTGTGTTGTACAAAGTACAACAGCGCGAGTAACGGAGGGTTAAAGAAAACACACAGACAAACAGACATAACTCTTGCAAGTTTTTAATCGAACAAGCATTTAACAGACAATTTAAAAGTATCGTAGTTGGTAGTACCGCCACCTGTGGCGCGCACAGTCAATCCCCTTGCGTTTGACGTTTACACACTACCACCATCTGTTCAGCGTAGTGCCCACCACAGTGTACGCAACAAATGTTTTAGCGACGATGTTTTACAGTAAGAAATATTCAATGTGTTATGTCTGTTTGTCTGTGCTACTAGTGAGTACATGGCTAGAAAAAAGTAGAGTCGGTGTATAATGAGTCACGCCAAGAGAAAAACAGTTGAACTCGCATCACGGTTTTCGAAAGATTCCAATTCTTTTCACTTGGCAACAGAGGACTTCTACAACAACTTCAAATTACTTCTAGCGAGAGAAAAAATACTGCGGCTGTAGTAAATCATTATATCAGTGATTTTGTCAAATTATCTTAACAAAAAATAGTAGAAATTCTCATTACTAATCATTACCGAGCGTATCCCATGACAATTTAACGCTCATGAGTTAAAACCGAGTTAATTTTGAGTAACTCTGAGTAGCCCGAGTTATTCAAAATTCAATACAAGCAGACTCAGCAGCCATGTTTTTGTTGTGCTCATTTCCCAGATGTCAAACAATATCATCTAAACGCGTTTCATACCGGATCATCTCTCTCAAGTTTTGTCATTGTTCGTCCTCCGAAAAATTGTATAGTCCATCATTTATCGATTCGTACCGTGCAATTGTTCCATTCTATTTTCAGATTATAAATGAGTCTTCTAGTCGCACATCTATGAGTACTAACTTGAAGAAATTTAGCTTGCCTGGCCCTCGACTGAAATAACCACGGCACTCACAGTATTACAACGATTTGTAATGGAAATTAAATGCAGCAGTTCAATGTAGTTGTAGTTAGAGATTACATTCGATTATTTTATTATATTATTGCAACATTGTGCAATGTATATTATGCATTAAAAACACAATATGCCTCATAAATGTATCATGGCTCGACGACAAACACCACTGTTTTCAGAAGGTTTTTCAATAAGGAATTCCATGTTGCCGATGATTACAATTTTCAAATTTAAGCATGCGGATGGCAGACTTAATTTTTTAATCAGACCAATCGCTTTGGGTAGAAATCTTATTTATTATTTCTCTCCTATGTTACTGACTACAGTTTTTGTTTGCTATACATTTTGTCCAAACTGTTACAGAAGTATGCATCAATACTTTTTAAATCCGTGCCATGTGATTAGGTATTCAGGTTCTTTTTATAACCAGTAGCGGTGAAACTGCCATACCAGTCCACCACCAAACTGCTATTTTCTCTTTAATCGACGGTATACTATAGGCAGCCTTGCTGATAGGATATAAACTGTGTTATCAACCATCCCCGGAATCGGTTCCGTAGTTTCATCACAAGCACTCGTTGGGTTGCCGTCGATGTTTATTCAAACTGATGACAGTTGACCTGATTGACATAGGACTACCATAGAGGCAACTCTAAGACACGAAGGTCCCGAAATAACGTGCTCAACTTTTTGGCTCAGCTCTGGTACTCTCTTCGGTCCCAAGCTAATGATTCACCCCTCGAAACATAGGAAAATCCAATAACCCCTCATTTTATCTGTCAAACTTTCATAGCGAATCAAAACAAACATAGTGTAGTACTAGAATTTCGACTAGAATGGGATACGTTAATCGTTTGCTTGGGACCAATAGGCTAGTCAAGTAGTGAGCCAATTTCAAATCGATACTTTCGTATTGATTGTTGGGACTACTTTGATCACTTTTGAGTAATTATGAGTAACTCAAATTTACTCGATTTAAAAATATTAGCTCGGAGTACAGCTGGCTTGCCCCTAGGTATAAACACATAAATGAGTAAAAAAAATACACATTTTTTATATATATATGCAGCTGTCAAAAAATGTGTAAATTTGGAGATCTTAAAATGTGTAAAAAAAAACACACATTTTAAGAATGTAGTACACGCAGAAAAAAATATTATCGAAATAAAATTATTTGAGGTAAATCCCGACCAACCATTTCGTTAATTTTCTTAAATTTTCTATACATCTATCTTCAAAGCCATTCATAAGAAAAATCGATAGCGATCGTCACCATTTCATGAATAATTGTAAAGATGCTAAAAGCCTAATCGTGAATCGTTTATAAAGATCTTTCTCAAAATATTGCTACCAATCGTTACCAATGTTAAAATATCGATTTCTGTAGTGAAATCAAAATATTGATACTCAACTGCTGATTTTATTTGTGATTTTTTACCTGCATAATTTCTAGTTTCGATCCCATGTCATCTGGGGTGTACTGATTTCGTTGTTGGTTGCTAATCCTCGGGTCCACGGCTGCTGTTGATGAGCTTATTAACGACAGGCAAACACACTCTAGTATGTAGTGTATTGAAATTTCTGTAATTCTTTTCATACATGAATTCAATATTTATTTGTCATAACCATCAACCAGTCAGCCATGTAGGTGTAATAGAGGTCAAAAAGGTATCAATTTTCCTCATTGGGTTCCAAATGTCGAGAATCCCACCACGCATGCTATCACGGGTTATTAAATATATAGACGTAAACTTGAAGAACTACAATGGTAAACATTTGCTGCGTCACGGCCATCGGTCATCTCGTTCATTTACCGGCAGATTGCTTCTTCCGATGAAATGCCGAATATGTCGATAAATAATATAAACATTGCCATCTGTCACCTGGTGTGTCTCAAACTCTCTTTAACCAGCGATACAAATCGATAACAAGGAGATTGTAAATGTGCGTCGATGGAAATCTTTGTTGTTCTTTGTCAAAGTTCAAAGTTACGATGATATCAGTATTTAAATATTTATTGATGAATATTTGTAAAGAATACTAAAGTCCATGTGACATATCGAAATGAAAAGAAATTTAGTATATGGCACCTTTATAGATTACTATCATATGACCGATGAAGAAATAATCTTAAATGTAAGTATCGATCAATAAAGATTCTTAACTGTGTATACATCGAAATCATGGAAAATTTAAAGTAAAGAATTGCCGACATGAATCTTTATTTCTGTATAAAGAACTTTGAAGAAGTTTGACGAACGGTTGGTCGGGATAGTGTGTGTGGTTACACATGGCTTTTATGTGTACACATATTAAGTATGTGTCGAGGTATGTGTCCGACACATAGATATCATTTGTTGATCACATTGCAAAAAATCATATGTGGGACACATAAAAACAATCATTGAAATTTTATCAATGCAGGAGTTAGCTTTTTTTACGAGTAATTGGCGGTCGAAATCATTGTTAGCAAAAGTACACGAAACAAAAATCAATTATTTTATTCATGTGTTTCATCTATACATTTTTGCCAAATAAGGCTGATGCCTTATACATTTTTAAGACAAACCACATAGGTCCTATTGGAATGCATAAAAGGTATGTGTGACTGCTTACACATTTAATTTGATACATGATCTTCATTAACTATTTGTAAGGCGTCTGCGTATTAGTTGGATTATATATTTTATGAATAATCAGCAATAGAAATTTGCCAAAAGGTATAAGGAGATTTCTATCTGTGTAGTTTCGCCCTCGGTTTCGACTTCTGAAATGTTGGCACTGAATAATTCAGTACCAACATTTCAAAGGGGCGTAATTGCTTTAGTATACAATGACTTTAGCCGTCAATTTCTCTCGAATGAAATCTTACCTCTCCTAAATAACAATGCTAGCTGGTAGAGGAAACATTCATCAACCTACTGGTGTCATTTTTTTTCATGAGTTAGCTTTTATTCGCGAGAAATCAACGACTAAGCCATTGTTTACAAATGCTATTACGCCCTTTTGAAATGTTGGCACTGAATTAAAGTTTAAAGCTTAACAAATTATGTTCTTATAAAATTTCAGCATCCAATAGTTACTGGCAGCACTGTATACTAGCAGTTTTATTTAGACGTATCACCGTCTGTCAACAACAGCTGAGTGATATTTTGCATTGAAAATCGATTTCTCTTGCAAAATTCCAGCAAATTTCGTGAACAAATCTGTCGATTTCGGACTAAAATAAGAATGTTGTTGTAAAATTATTGTTGTAATCGTATTGTGGTGCTTGTTTGAGTAGAAAATTCCTAGAACGGTAAAATGTTCTCGATCAAAACACCTCGCATCCAGCAGAAGGATCTCCAATGCCTCAATGGCTGCGGATTCTACGGAAATGCACAATGGAACGGTCTGTGTTCGAAATGTTATCGCGAACGCACGATAAAGGAGCGCCACATGAAGCGTAAGCAGCGATCACCTCTTCAAAGTTTATCAAATTAGGACTGGTAAACATTGATTGTTTCGTATTTTGTTTCCAGTATATCGCCCTGTTCGGTTCGAAGGTCATCCGAGTGGAAAGAAGCAGGAGCCGCACCATACTTTGGCGCAGCATCAGCTTCAGCAACAAGTGGATCAACGCCATGCTACCAAGATCGGTTTCGGTCAACCGGGAAAATCCGGTGCTGCTCCAAAGGAGGAGGATAAAAAGAAAAAGCGTAATTTGATGGATTTGCTGAAGAAATCCCCTTCGGTGAAAGAATCGGAGAGACCGCCAAGACATCACCATCATCACCACCATAACAGGCAGCCTATGGACAAACTGGAACAGGAATATCAGGATGCATTAAAGGCACTGAAGATTGAAGATGCAGCCAAAAGGGAGCTGAAGTACTTTATTGAAATGCTGGATCAAAAAATCCGCAAGAAGCACTCGGACTGCAGCATTGAGGAGGTTTCCGAGATTGTCCAGAATGGCTACACCAAGTTCCAAGAATATATGAATGTAGAAAATTCAAAATTCGCCAACGTATCACAGGAAACCAAAGAGCAAGTTCTTGACTTTTTCGAAAAGTGCATCATGACCATGAACCACGGTCGATTGTTTTCTCCGCCGACAACCGATGACGAAGAGAAGGATTCACAAATTCAGAAGCGAATTCGGCAGCTAAGCTGGATCAACACAAAACACTTGGTGTGCAGTATCGATGAGGTGAACTCGGAGGTTCGGGATTTAGTTTACACCGCCATCACGGAGTTGGTTTCGATGGATTCGTTCCATTCGCCGCAGGTTGGTTTTTCGTATGTTGAAACGTTGTGAGATTTATGTGCTAATGTTGAATGCGTTGTTTTAGGAAAAGCTCGAATGCATCATACGATGCTGCCGGAATATTTTCAGTTTGCTGAAGCAGTCCGTTGGTGGACCAGCGAGTGCCGATGAGTTCTTGCCTGCGTTCATATTTGTTGTCCTCAAGGCGAATCCCGTTCGACTGCACAGCAATATAAATTTCGTTACCCGTTTTAGTAATGCTTCGCGGCTGATGAGTGGTGAAGGCGGCTACTATTTCACCAATCTTTGCTGTGCAATTTCCTTCATAGAAAATCTAACTTCGGAATCCTTGTCCATGTCGGCAGAGGAATTCAATGGATTGATGACGGGTGAAAAAACGGGACCGTCTGCATGGGAAAGTGCTCTGATGGCCTGCGAAAGTCTGCATCTGATATCGGAGAACATGAAAACGATGAAAAAGTTGGGCACACGAAACGAGGAAATTTTGAAAAACATTGAAACCTTAAACGAGGATATCGTAAGCTTTAAGGTTAGTACGGTTTTGTTTGTGCCTGGATCGCGGATCATTTTTTTTTTCAATCTATTTCCAGAACGAAATCAGCCAAAAAGTTACAGAGGTGCTCGACCGTACGCCGCTTGTACTGCAACCAATTCGCACACCACGACGTTTGGAAAAACGTAATGCACAAGTATTTAGCGCAGCCAGTGGTCAACAGCACCCGGTCGATGGTGGCCACTTTCAGTCAAATTTGATGGCTGCCATGAAGGTTGGCGATATAGAATCTATCGACACGAAAAATAAATCCAGCATCGAAGTGACCGTTGTTCCACAAACCAATTTCGATGAGCTGGTTAAAAATCTTTCCGATACCCTCGTGGCCCCGTTAGTCGCTGTAGGATGCGATAAGGATTTAATTCCGTCCCCATTACCAGGAATGAGTGCTAGCAATTCGGCCGATTTGCTCTCGGCTTCACCTATTTTCGACTATAACAAAGTTTTCGATACTCAATCGCTGGATGAAATTGCAACTCCGGACGATCTGGCGCACACTTTCATCAAAGGAATCCGCAACATCAATTACGATTTCGATTTCTCCGACCACAGTGGCGAGAATAGCGTTGCAGATGACGTTGACCATAAACCGTCACCCGCGGCCGTACCTTCCGTGAGTCGATTCGATTTGGATGAATTCGATCCGTTAATCGCCAAGGAACGTGCCGATAAAGTATCGCCGCTTCCGCTGCAATCAACGACGGGCAGTGGTAATCTACTGGATGAGGATTCACCACGTGCCCTGCTTCTGGAGTCGCCAATTAAACCAACCGTGGCAGAGTATCAAGGCTTTTCGCTCCAGGGCTGCAATATTCCTACTATAACATGTGCTGCTGGGGACATGGGAGCTTCCAGTTCCGGTTCGAAATTAGGGCAGCAGCAGAAACAGTCGACGGGAAATACTTTGGGCAGTGGTGGAAGCTTGATTTAAATTGGAGGATGTGATGCCGGGGAGTACTGTAACACCTTACTGTATGTAGTCATTTATATCTGTTATGTGTTATTGAAGATGTGTATAATATTGAACAATCTATATCAGCAATTATTACAACGACTATCGAATAGTTCTCTACAATATATTTATCTTAAAATGTTATGCCGAAATGATCCTTCAATATGCGCCAAAGCACCAAATTTAACTCGCTGGAAATCAGTAGAAATGTGCGCTTATTTTGGAATTTTACGAAAGATAAGCAAACTCCAGCAAAATAATGCTGCTGAAACTTTCAGCAATTTGAACTTCTGTCAAAATGCCAACGTGTTACTGAATCATCAGTAAAACGAATACTTTTGCTGAAACAACAGTGAATTTATTGAATGCAGTTATTGAACCAGCAGCAAAGGCTATATAGGGGAAATGGCTCTAATGTTGGCCTATGGATCTAAGATTGGGCCCATCGCTAAAAATCTGCTATTTATCAATTTTATCTAGATTAACGCGTCATTGGGACGGTACTATTGGATATTTTTGGACGCTATTGAAAATTTAGTCGATTGCAGCCAGGCGGTGGACCTCAGAATTTCGCGTCCGTGGAGAACTGTTTAGGATCATCCTAAGGATATTGTTCTGGATCGTTTGGAGTTTTAGGAGATGACATTTGGCCTAACTCCCCTTGATTGGCATACCGTACTCGTTTACGGGAAGGACGATTCAATTTTGCTTGCAGACAGCAAGCGTATTTTTTCAGGGACAGGGTGGACTTCCTGTTGATAAGTGGATACAATGATCTTTATCAAGATGTTGCACTTGGTTTTCGTTTTGTCAGCATGCTCCCTGAAAAGTAGCCCACTGTCAAGAGTCAGTCCGAGGTAGACTACCTCTTTGGACCATTCAACCACTGTGCCGTTTAGTTAGGCAGATTTTATTATTCTCTGACAGAACAAGTCTGGAGAATTTTGAGTGTGGAAAAATCACGTCGATGCGGATCTTCCAGGAGTTGAAACACTCAGACAAGATATCCAAGCTTCTCTGGAGTTTGGTAGTCAGAGCTCCGAAGACCCTACCCTTGTAGACGATGTATGTGCCGTCTGCGAACGATCCACCATCAGGGAGAACCGGCATATCGGAGGTGAACAGGTTGAACAATATGGGTCCAAGGATACTTCCTTGGGACACACCTGCACCGATGTTGAAAGGATCCGATGTGATGCCGTTCAGAGAGACCTGGAACGTCCTGTCCGATAGATAATTTTGTATGATCTTCACGAGGAAGATCGGAAGGCCGTATCGATGTAACTTGTACACCAGACCATCATGTCAGACATTGTCAAACGCCTTTTCAACGTCTAACAATGCCATAGCAGATGTTTTAGAAACAGCCTTGTTCCGTCTAAGAATGTTTGTTACTCGGGTCAGTTGGTGGGCGGTCGATCGACCCTTCGGCAGATGTTAGAAGTCTGCTGTAAACTACCCTTTCGAACCGCTTGGATAACCCTAAGAGAAGGCTGATGGGTCGGTAAATTGAAGGAGAGGAATGATCCCAGGTTTCCGGATGGATATGACTTTAGCTGACTTCCACCCCGGGGAGAAGTAGCCAAGTCGGATGGTTGAAGAACTCAAATGTTTGAGTTCCAGATTGAGAATGTTGTCGAAACCTGGGGCCTTCATATTTTTGGATGATTTGATATAGGCCAACAGTTCCTCATATTTTTGGATTCCTCAGGAAACATGGAGGTTGGCTGTGTGGACTTATGCTGTTCTGTCCGACATTGTGGAAGCTAACGAAGTGTTGACCTATCACTTCTCTACAGGGGTTATTAGATGAACCACTGAATCGTCGGAGCGATTCAGCGGTATCAGTGGTGGAATGGGCCTAGGCTTGTTTTTAAGAATTATAGTAAGTTTCCAGAACGGTTTAGCACAATCTGGGAGCAGAGTCGCTATTTATGAGATCCATCATCCTGGCCTGGATAATTTTGGTAAGGCAATTGCAATTGTTCTTATGGACAGGCAGACCAGAGTGTTGATACTGCCTTCGAATGGTGTTACGGAGTCTTATATGGCCTTTGGTAGATCTGTCAAGGTTCAAAGTATTGCTCACCTGTCTGGATACTGGCACATGTTGTTCCTTGGCCCATATTATTACAGATACCGGTCAACGAATTCGTACGTCTCCGGTTGGACATCGTAGTCGATAGTTGTGTTAACGCAGTGTTGATATTGATCCCAGTTGACACGATGGTTGTTACGCCGTAAACCTTCGAATCGGTTCACCGAGGAACCAACTTCCGCCACCACCGCATAGTGATCCGAGCTGAATTCCTGGTATATGATAGGTTGAGCGATGTTGTTGCCCATGTTGCTAATGAAGATATCGATGATAGGGTGAATACCGGCCGACTCAACCGGTTGGGAGTGTCCGGACTCAAGTTGTTGTACTGCGCTTCCTGCCGTTTTGATTGCGCTGACTGTTGACCCAGGCTTGATGTTTGGCATTCAGGTCGCAAGCGATAATGAAGTTTTCCCGCCGTCGTGTAAGCTGGACCCATCTCTGATGTTGACTTGTTTGGGGCAGTATGCCGTAACAACGTAACGTATGTTGAGGAATTCAACGAACTCGATGCTCTTGCTCTTGAGCGAGCAAGCGTTTCAATTGGCAATTTTGATGGCTTCACGGTCCGTACTTATTGATGAGGGATACTGCAGCATGAAGCTGTTCTATTCGGGTCCTGCAGGTGCGCTGGATCATGATGACTTCTGTCAAGAGTGTAACAAGTTCCGCCGATGTTAGCAGAGTGTCTGTATTCTCGATCGCTGGTGAAGGGGAAGCACCTAAATGCTGCCAAGATAGCCCCGGAGGAGGAGAGGTGCTTCGGGATGCAGCGGTTGCCGCATATGACTCCAGCTGTTGGCGGGACCGATGCAGCACCAGCAAAACGGTTGTTGAGTGGAAGTGCAGGATGGCCGGAAAGTTCTACCTGTTATTTTCTGGCACTCTTCTTCGGCTAGGTTGATTATTCGTAGAGGTTTTATTGTGAATAACAATGAACTCCGCACGTTTCGGGTATGTCTTGCTGGTTGCTCGATGTGCTACACCACAATTGGCACATTTAGGGTCTGTTTCCTCCAATAAATCGCAGGCATCAGGTGCGTGTTGCTTTCCACAAACTTTCAGACTATAAAATATAACCCATTAGTAAGCTTTTGGCATATTTATTTCATTCTTCTTCAAAACCATAACCGTATGCTCGCACTTTACGCTTAACTCCACTCAATACAACAACGTGAGTAGATCGCTTGCCAAATCATGTATTACTTGGCAAACTTTGAAAGTTTTTGCTTCCTTACTTCCTCCGGAACATCAAACTGGTACTGGGGCTGCCGGAAGTCCGCCTTGATATAAGTCTCATAATCCATGATGAGACAATGAGGCTTCGTCAGCATCTGGGTGTACAGTTTTTGGGCCCGTGACTTTCCCACCGTATTTTGCCGTTCGTCACGATTTGGAGCCTTCTGCACTTTGTACGTATGCAGTCCCTCCCGGCTCTCTGAACGAAAGACTTGGACAGATTCAACATTCTGGCCACATCCCTGACCGAATCATTGGGATTCCGCTTAAACGCTTTCACGACACGCTTGTGATCCTGATCACTAATGGAACATGCATTCTGATCGCATCTCTCGTTCCGTTCGATGCTCAGAGTTTCGTAGTTACATTTAATCTCGTTGACTGCACGATTCCGAGTTGTTTTCTGATGTCCCGATGAGGGAGTTGAAGATTTTCCAGGTGCTTGCGCAAAATCAATATGCGACGTTGCTTTTCGGGTGACGCCATTTTTTCCATCTTTCGAAAAACTGACAGAGATAAAAATACAGTGTAAACAATACACTCTAAACTACTTCTGTTCGGGAGAAAACTTTCTTGGCGGGATGTAAAAGAAACAACTCTCTGTTAGCAGGTTACTCAACGCAGCTTCAAAGCTGAAAATTTATTTCGCGGTTAGCTTGGGTCAAATTGTTTTAAAGAAACTTACATTTTGGTGCCTTTTAAAAATTGTTCCACGCTTAATTTCTCCAACAATCCTTCGTGCAAATCACTTTGTTGACTACAAACTACAAAACAGGTTTATTAATTTTAATTGAAACAAAGTAATCTTTCCAATAAATTCAATAGATCTTTCTGTCTTGTTTACTTTCCTTTCTCCTTTCCTTTCACCTGGCAGTTCCCATGACAGTTCAGCATGACAGCTGCGGTTAATGCTAGTCCGCACATTCGTAACGGGCGTAACCGGGACTCACTTGGTAGCCGGCGGCGACTGCCCTGTGGGTTCGCCAACATTCCCCCGCCCGTGTAGTTCCGGTTTGCTTGAACTCTCCTCTTCTGGCTCTCCAGATGATTCCTGAATGTCCAGCAAAGCAAGGTTGGTTGCCAGTCGGCTGAACACCCCCCTGGAAGTGTGCACCACTGCTCTTCGAACTTGACCATCCTTTCCTGACACTACATCCGTGATCCTCCCTCGCAGCCATCCGTTGCACTTGCCTTCGTCGACCACGACCACCAAGTCACCGGGTTTCAAAGGTTTTGCCGGTCGGAACCACTTGGTGCGTCGGGTAAGTGTAGGTAAATATTCGTGTACCCAGCGGCTCCAGAACATATCAACCAGGTACTGCGAAAGCTTCCAGCTGTCCCTCAGAGTTGCATAGTCGTGCTGTAGGTCCCGACTAGGTTGGTTGATGCCTTGTGTCCCGTACACACCAAATTTAAATCGCTGAAACCCAGCAAAATTTTGCTGATTTTAGACTTAATGAAAGATCAACAAACTTTCCAGCAAAATAATGCTGCTGAATTTTCCAGCAATTCCAACTTCTGTCAAAATGACAACATTTTACTGATAATCAGCAAAACAATTCAGCAATATTTCTTCACTGATTTTTCAGCAATAACAAATTTTGACAGCTCACAGCATTTTGCTGAATAAACTCAGTAAATCGAATTTATTTTCACTTGGGACTGGCAACTTATATTAAAGATTTTCGATACAAATACTCAAATAATAAATACAAAATCGCCAGGGTCTGTTACATGCATAATTTATTAAAATTTATTTAAAAAATTGCTCTTACCAACATAATTGTATACATTTGTAGTTTTGTTTATCTCTCTCCTCGGTGGTTTGTACGAATCGTACGAATGCAAATAGCTGCGACTGTGACGCTAACAGATTGACAGCTCTTTACTGGGTGTCCAGCAAACCGTTTATGTTAGCTGAATTTTTCGGTAAAAATTCGTTTGCTGTTTTTCAGCACAGCTTTTTTGTTGCTGATGATGATCCAGCAAACCGTTTTACTGATAATGAAAACTAAAATTTCGTGTGTAGAGCAGGAAATGGTTCGGTGTGAGGGCCTCTTGATCCGCATGATCCAAAGGGATGTAAGTTAGCGGTCTTGAGTTAACTATCGGCTCTGCTTCGAGCGCGACGGTTTCCAGGACCTCGTCACTGGGGTGATGTGGATGGTCTGCGATTGCCGCCATTGCCACCTTCACTGACCTGACCATGCGCTCCCACGGTCCTCCCATGTGGGGCGCTAGGGGTGGGTTGAATAGCCATCTCGTGCTCACATTTGTGAATGTCACACTACAGTGTTCGTTGATGGGTTTCAGCTGCTCCTTCAGCAAGTTGCTGGCTCCCACAAAGTTGGTCCCGTTGTCTGAGCAAAAAGTTGCCGGGGAGCCCCGACGTGCCACAAATCTTCGTATGGCCATCACGCACGACTGAGTGAACAGGCTGTGGACGATCTCGAGATGAACTGCTCTTATGGACAGGCACGTGAAAAGCGCTACCCAACGCTTGACTAAGCTGCGACCTTGTTTTACGAAGACGGACCCGAAGTAGTCCACCCCAGTGTGCGTGAATGGCCGTATGAAAGCGGTCAGCCGGATTTCTGCAAGAGGCGCCATGATCGGTGCCCGAGGTGCTGCCTTCTGGATTCGACAATATTGGCACTGCTTGGCTACCTTTGCAATCACTGCACGAAGTTGTGGAATCCGGAAATGCTGTCGTATCTCGTTGACTACCGTATCGTTGTTCCCATGCAGAAAACGGACATGATAGTATTCCACGAGCAACTCCGTCACCCGATGATCTTTGGGGAGGAAGATTGGATACCTCACATCCTTTGTTACCATCGGTGCAGCTATTATTCGACTATTCATCCGAAGAACTCCATCGTCGTCTAGCATCGGAGTCATCGTGTACAACACGCTTGATCCTGCTATCTGCTTCGGTTCCGCGTCCGGGTGCTCTTTGTTGTAACTGAGCGTGGCGTATTCATCCGGATATTCTTGCTTCTGCACCTGCTGCCAGATCAGAGTTTCGGCCCTTCGCAACTCTTCTTGCGTAAGTGGACTTTTGATTGTACCTTTCGCCACTTGTCCACGGTAGTCGTGCTCAGAATTTCTCCTACCCGGAAGCCGACGAATTGATGATATCTTCGTGTCTCTGATTTCAGCCACGCAAGAACGGTCGTCGAGTCTGACCAGAGGTATCGAGCAGCCACTGGTATCGTCAGCGCCGAGGTCAGCGCCTTACAAATGTTGTCCAGCAGTCGGGAGCCGATTAAGGCTGCCTGCAATTCTAGCCTCGGTATTGAGAGGGGTTTTAACGGCGCTACCTTATAGTACGTTCAGACTACAGAGTTATAACATGTTATAGCGCTATCTTCATGGTGGTTTCTGTGTTGCAATTATTTGACAACCGTTATAACATGTTATAACTGCTCAACCTGGCCAGCGTTTTAGTCTTCGCGGCTATCAGCGCGCATCGAGGCATCCCATTGGGCATGCTCCGAAGATACGCAACACAGGCGTACGCGTTCTCGCTTGCATCGACAAAGTCGTGAATCTGTGTAGCTCCGGTTGCCGAGAAGAAGCATCTGGGGACTTTGACTCCACTTATATTCACCAGCAATCCGATCCACTGGCGCCAGTCTTGCAGTATTTCACCACTAATCGTTTCGTCCCAGCCCGATCCAGTCCTCCAGATTCGCTGCATGAGTATCTTCCCGTGAACCGAGAAGTGTGCTAGTCCACACATTCGTAACGGGCGTAACCGGGACTCACTTGGTAGCCGGCGACGACTGCCCTGTGGGTTCGCCAACAACTTCTACCCAAATTTTCAAGAGAAAATACCCAATAGGCGAGGGGAGCAACTCTATATAAGATGCAGGAAAATTTTTGCTTTGCTGTTGTGAGATGCACTCGTGCTTAATAGATAGAAACACGATTGATTATGATTGAAGATTTCCTGCAAAAAGGTGGAGATGGGCTTAGATGTAAGAGATGAAAAAAGATTTTTCGTAGATTGATTCGCTAGTGTGAGATTGTTCGACCATTTGAAATCGAAATTTAGATGTGTCGCACCCCTGGGGTAATTTTCCACAGCGTTTTTGCCGTGACGCAATTTGATGTGGGACACCCTTTATTTATTACAGTTCCTATCAGGCCTGTTTAGAGAATGAATCTTAGATTTTAAAATGGCATCACACATCGGATTCTTGCTTCTAGATGTTATCACTTTAATGGGTATTTGACAGTATTTCCCACTTTTTCTTAAACTAGAAGCTATCATCTTGGATTTCAAAATGGCATCATATATCGATCACCGACAAACCGACATGAATGACCATGGCAAAAACAATAAAATTTCTGACCAAAGCACACTACTGACATCTGGTTCCGTGTTCGCGGGAAATATTTAGCTAAGCCTATGAATTGGTTCGTGTCTGATCTATTCTGGACAAATTATTTTTACCTAGATCAAAAACTCCTATGGTTTTGACAGTTCGGATCACATTTAAATCGATCGTTTACGATTTTCGGGCATAAGTTCGAATGAAGTGTCTAGTCGATTTGTCGGTGTATCGATTTCCAATCTTTAGTCACCCCGATTCCAAAAATACAGGTGCAGTATTTCCCAATTTTTTCTGAGCTTGGAAGAGGCTATCTTGGATTTCAAAATAGTGTCGGACATCGATTTTTGGCTCTAAACGATATGCCGATTGATTCCAAAAATACCAATATTGATGGATATTTGACAGTATTTCCTACTTTCTCTCCATTCTCGAGATTAAAAAAAACCCTATTGATAGTATTTGACAGTATTTCCCACATTTTCTTGAACCGGACACCACCATATTGGATTTCAAAATGGCGTCATATATAGATTTTCAGCCTTTCTAGACTTCATCCATATTGAAAAAATACCTGTATTGATAGGTATTTGACAGTATGTCCCACTTTGTTTTAACTGGAAGCCGCCATCTTGTGGTTTAAAATGGTGTCGAATATCAAACCGAGAGCACAATCAACAAAAGTCTGAAAAACGAACAGCTTCGCTCAGGGCTTCGCTTTAATACGAAAGTAAGTTCATTTGACAATGAAAGACGAAATGAACACCAGTCATGCCAAAACAAACAGCATGAAAACTGATCAAAAGTGGTTCTGTTGATGTTTAAGCATAGAGGTAACTCTAAGACCACTGGGTCCCGAAGAAAATCATTATTATTTTTGGCTCACTCAGTACCAGAACAACGGTCCCAAGCAGTCCCAAGCTATTTCACTCACCCCTGCATGTTCTGCATGAATCCACACACCCCTGATGTTATCTGTCAAACTTTCATAGCGAATCAAAACAAACATAGTGTAGTAATAGAATTTCAACTAGAATAGGGTACGTTAATCGCTTGCTTGGGACCAATAGGCTACTAAAGTGGTGAGCCAATTTAAAATCGTTAGTTTCGTATTGATTGTTGGTTTAAGGGAGCCGGCGCCGGTGGTGTAGTGGTAAGCGTGACTGCTTTCTTACACCCCAATAGCTCTGGGTTCATTCCCAGCCGAGGTCGGTGGGATTTTTCTGAGGCATCAAAATCTCTGGTCACGTCTTCCTTCGGAAGGGAAGTAAAGCCGTTGGTCCCGGCCCATGTGTGTTGAATGGGTGCGATATCCTACGCTGGTGTGGAAGCTGCCTTCCAGCACATTCGATTGCCGTCAATGGATGGCAATCGATGTCCGTCGGTGATTGGCACTAGATTGCGGAACAGAGACCGACGTTAAATAAAGGAAAGAAGAAGAAGAATAAGAAGAAGAAGATGTTTAAGGAGATCTGCTCGAAGAGAAGACAGAATGAGTTCCAATAAACCACTTCATTCGAGCAGTTAAAATGACGTTTACTACCACTTGAACTTTGAAATAAAACATTATTTTTTTTCTTCTAGAACCACGAAAAAGTAGCCAACATTTGTGCGTTTCATAAAAAAATATAAATTAGTTGGTCCAGTTTTGTGAAATCGCTGGTAGAAAGTCACACCAAAACTGCTTGACAAAGTGGTCAATTTGGCTAAATTCTAGAAGAAAAAAATCTTAAAATAATGTTTCATTTCAAAGTTCGAGTGGTAGTAAACGTCATTTTATCTGCTCGAATGAAGTGGTCAATTGAAAGTGATGGTTGACAGCTTCGTCGTCGCTTGACGATTTTCGATTAAAAATGACTTTGTTGGGCCCTGCAATTTTGCTGATTCTCTGCGATTTGAATTTGACGTCGCATAAATCAGCAAAGTTTCATTCAAATCGAAGAGAGTCACGTCCTACCGATTTGCTATTTGGCGTGGAAATGCTCAATCACTAAACATCACTCGTTTGATTTCATCGATTTCATCAGATTGGAGGCTTGATGTTTGAGTGACAATTAAAATAAAACATCGATATTTAAAAATAAAACTAATCATTTAATTAGAGCCCTTCACATTGTTCCCATAATACTTGAGGACCTAAGCCTACGTCAGTGATTGAATAAAAATGTAAAATTGATCTACAAAAATGTCACTAAACTGTAACGAATCCTCTCCAGTGCCTCCACTCTTTAACCTCTTCATAAAGCGCCGCAGCATCGTTGCCCGGTATTGAGCTATCAATGACGCCATACAATCGATAGTTGGGTGATAAGCTGAACCTTCGTATAGATTCCGTAAGCAGTGCCTTCGTTTCAGCGTACATCACGTTGTCGGGTCGTCGGTCGTTGTAAGTTCCTGGATGAGTGATAGAATTTACTAAACATGACACCAAGATTATTGCGATCTCCATACCAATAACACCAACTACGATAGTGTCGTTCAGTCCGGGAAGATTGTAAAATCCATGCTGCGATTTCCAGCCTCGTCCTTCGTACGTTTTCCCATCGCCACCGATCAAGAAGTTGTACGGAATGTGAGTCCCATTCTCAGTCCACGCATCGTGCTCTAGCTTCTGTACCAGATTGATACATGTGCCTTGATCCCGGCATGGTGCACTTCTCGTGTGCAGGAGTATCACATTCTGGGTGGCAAATTTATCCAAAGGACTCAGCTCAGCTACCTGGTGCTTCCACCATACATTGCGTTCCACCAGATAGAACGGATGAGATACTGGCCACGGGCTCGGTACTGTAAAATGATCTATTTGAAAAGAAGTATTTAGACTCTATCTAATTGGCTTACCTTGCATCAGCAGCAAGTAAACTGCTATTATAACGCCCAGCAGTAGGAACAAAATCAGTGCCAGTATGCCGAGAAGAGCCGTAGTTTGAACGGTTTGCAGCTGCCGTGCTCGGTTACGGTCGGGTTCGAAATTGATCTTTGTAACCAAAAGAGGGGTTCGCTCTCCTGCTTCCACATCGTACTCAGATGAATAACTGCCACTTCTGCTAATTGGATTCTTCAAGCGATTGGAACTGCTGATGGCTGCGGTTCGGGCTGCAACGGTAAGAAAGAAGTTGGAGCAGTTACTATAGCACTGTTCTAGGAATAGTTCCAGTCGGTTTGTATCTTGAACCAACAAATCATCGGAGTAGAGCGATTTCTGCTCAAAATTACGCTGCACGCTAAGAACCAGACGGGAATTCAGGAATATTAGCATTTTGAGGTTAGTAACGCGAAGAAAGGCTGAGTCTGAAATACAGAATGCTAGTTGATTGCTGAGATAGGCATAGTTTCCATTTCAGCAGATGATGCAGCAGATAAGGCGAGAGGTTGGAAATGAGACAACACTCGGCAGTTAGACGTGGCTATCAATATGATAACATGCGAGAATGAAGCATTTTTGTAGTCAGTTAATATGTTTTACATTAAGTATTGCACGATGTTTTGAGTTCGTTCAAGTTGAGACGGAAGTGGTTCGTATTTAGATTTAGATTATCAGTAATTAGATCAGGCTACAATGATTGCGATGGCCTCGCAGTATTACAAAGTCGTGTAATGGTAGGCTAAGAAATGCATATAGAGCACGAAGCAAAGAAGTGATTTGGTTTTGACATAGGATTACGTCTTTCGGCGACATATTGGGGGTGCAATTTCAAAAAACCAAGATCGACCGCATTACGAAAAGTGGTCAGGTTTTGACCACATACAACATTTAAATTCTAAATAAGCCAATCAATTGGAAATTTATCTGCGAATCTGCTAAAATGAACACTCTATTAATTTTCAATAGGTCACTATTGAAAATTACCCAAATGTCCAACTGTTGCAATGGTGATCAAAATTATCACCGATCGCCTACAAGAAGCGCTTTCCCTAACACAGATTTCAAAATCGAATTACATCTGAACGGTGCTTATTCAATCACCGTGTGTGGTGGTGTCCGATCTATAAACATCAGCAGCAGATGGAGTGCTTTCGGCGAGTGGCGTTGAACATTGTTCTCCAGTACACAACGAAAAGCTGCCCGCAAGCAGTGAGCTGCAGCCCACATGAGCGTTCATTCATCGAAGAAGGAGGAAGAAGCCGCACCGCTACTGATCGGATTCAGTAGCCCTTCGTGAGTCGCTGTGGGCCATCTATGCCAAACGCGTCACCCTCGTTCCAAACAACATATAGCTCACCAGTCTAATCTGTGTTGAACACTCTAATAGCTCAGTATTACTCAGCCATCACGACAAAATGGTCCTTTTCAAGACCACCATAAATTTGTAAAAGTTTGTGGTCAAATGCGTCACGTATTGAAGTGGTACATAAAAATTCTCGCTATGACCTAATACCACATGACCATGTCAATTAACCAGAAACACTTCGAATTAAGGTAAGGTTTTCTCCAGGACCCTAAAAAATAGAAAAAAATCTCGATTGTACACGGCGAATGAGAACGACCCAAATTTGAGTTTAGTTCACTCATAATCGCCAAAAGTGCAGGAACTCAGCGATGAGTAAAATTTGTCTTATGGTTTCCTGTGGAAAACCTAAAAAATCTGCCGAAAAATGAGGAAATTGACGAAAATTTTATTCAGTCTCGGAGTAGTACCAATAGACTGAGTGAATCCAATCTTCACTTTTCTCGAATTCGGGAATTTTTCCCTGGAAAATCCTGGAACAACTTGGGGAAACATAAGCCAAATGAACTCATCGCTGAGTTCCTGCACTTTTGGCGATTATGAGTGAACTAAACTCAAATTTGGGTCGTTCTCATTCGCCTTGACATAATTGATCGCGAATATATAGCGATTTGTAGAACATAGGAAAAGCGATACTGCTCTCGAGAACGATATATCATTGAATAGCTTGTTTAGCCAGGGCTTAAAGAATCGTCACGTCGGTGCTTGTTATGAAAGCTTGAACAATTGTTTATTATTATTATGAAAATAAAACATCTGACTAACAGTCTTCTTTTTTTCTTCTTTCCTTTATTTAACGTCGTTCTCTGTTCCGCAATCTAGTGCCAATCACCGACGGACATCGATTGCTATCCATTGACGGCAATCGAATGTGCAGGAGGGCAGCTTCCACACTTGCGTAGGATATCGCACCCATTCACACACATGGGCCGAGACCAACGGCTTTACTTCCCTTCCGAAGGAAGACGTGACCAGAGATTTTGATGCCTCAGAAAAATCCCACCGACCTCGGCTGGGAATGAACCCAGACCCATTGGGGTGTGAGAAAGCAGTCACGCTTACCACTACACCACCGGCGCCGGCCGACTAACAGGCTTAATGAAGTTTGATACAAACCGGGACCAAAAAAGAATATCAAGTAACATAACTCTATCAGTCTAATGAAATTGGACAGTTACTCACCAATTTCCCAAATCGAACGATCATTGGATTATGAAATTGTTGAGTGTACTTATTATTCTACCGTCTATCCGATAGTCAGCGCTTAAATGTAGTGGCAAAAGCGTTCCCAACAAACATTGAATGTTGAATAAGCGCTTATTCAGGCAAAAATAAGCGTCTTCAGCTAAAAAATGGCCTTTTCAGCTGTTAATCAACTCAAATTGTTTGTTGGGTTGAAGTCGAACAGTAAATACATCTGGTTGAAGCTAGCTGACATGAAACGGATGGGATCATGCTGACCATATAAAGCATTGCGGGACTCGAGCCTCCGAAAATCACGTTGGCAAAGGATTCGTTCTGGAGCGTAAATATTCAACTGGGCCAGGATATCAGGTGAATCCGTGTCTCCTAAAAGGATTTTAGCCACAAATACCGCTTGCGCAGTGGATCGTCTTTTTTCTAGAGTTTCAATACCCAGCAGTCTACAGCAGTCCTGCGGCAGATTGAGTGGATCTCTCCATGGAAGATTACGAAGGGCGTACCTTACAAATTTCCTTTGGATCCTGGCAATCCACGTTGATTGATATGGGCACCAAACCACCGACAAACCGACACTACTGACATCTGGCTCCTTGTTCGCGGGAAATATTTAGCTAAGCCATGAACCCGCATGCAAAAGTTATGAATTGGTTCGTGTCTGATCTATTCTGGACAAATTATTTTTATCTAGATCAAAAAATCCTATGGTTTTGACAGTTCGGATCACTGCACATTTAAATCGGCCGTTTACGATTTTTGGGCCTAAGTCAGAATTAAGTGTCATGTCGGTTTGTCGGTGACCAAACTACAGCATTTGATTCCAGTATCGACCGTACCAGAGCACAACATAACGAAAGAAGGCAGAGAGGGTCACGGAATTCGTTGGCTATCTTGAAGATGAATCCAAGCTGTCGGTTAGCTCCGGAGATAATTACATTGTAATGTAAACGGAAGGTTAACGCAGAATCAAGGATAACTCCTAAATCCCGTACTTGATAAACACGCTCAAGAGGCTGCTGGGCGATGTTGTAGTCATGTATGATTGGCTTCTGTTTTCTGTGGAACGAGATAACGTTGCATTTGTGAATGCTTAGCGTAAGGCTATTTCTGGAGCACCACTCAGCGAAACGGTCTATTAATTGTGCGACACAGTCCTGAAGACATTTCACCACCATGTAAATTTTGACGTCATCAGCATAGAATAAGCGGCAGCCAAGGGGCAGTGCTTTACATAACTCATTGATGAAAATTGAGAACAGCAGGGGACCCAGGTTACTCCCCTGTGGCAATCACGTCCAATCTTCACAATGAGTCTCCGGTCCTTAATATATGATCTAAGCCAGCAGGTCAAGTTTGAAGAAACACCAAGTCTTTCAAGCTGTTCACGCAAAATCTCATGATCAACTCGGTCAAAAGCAGATTTTAGGTCGGTGTACACTGCACCAACTTGTGTGCCAAGATCCATTTTATGCAAGCAAAATAAAGTGAACTGGACGAGGTTCGTAGATGCCGATAGATGCTGAAGAAATATAATTCCTGCAGGAGGTGAACAGCATGTCGTTGTTTATGATCTTAAAAATCTTAGAGCAGGCGCACAGTGAAGTTATTCCACGATAGTTCTCAATGTTACGCTTATCGCCCTTTTTGTGAACTGGTAACATAATGGAAGTTTTCCAGCTGGAGGGAAATTTACGCTCACGCAAGGAAATGTTGAACAGTTGAGTTAATCATAGCATCTTCAAGTTACATGACGGAATACCATCATGGCTAGGTGATGTGGAGTATTTCAATTTATCGATGGCAGATTTAACCTGCTGGAGAGAAATCTGAAAATTTCCCAATGAATAGACGTTGCGTGGCGTGTCTCTGCAAGCATTTTCGACTTGAGAGCTGGAGATGACGTAGAACCATTGAAGGCACCCTTGAAGTGATTAGCGAATTGCTCGCACTTATCAGATGAGGTACTGGTGAAATGATTGCCCAAAAACATTTCAACAGGTAATCCATAATCCTTCCGCTTGGAGTTGACGAATTTCCAAAAATTCCTTGGGTTTCTCCTAAGATTGTCTTGCATACGTAGAGTGTAGCGTTTGTACATGAAGCAATTGTATGTCCGATATCTGTTACTAGCTCGATTGAATACCTGCTTAGCGAATGGACAACGAGATCTGCAGTATTTCCGAAGTGCTCTCGAGCTCAGCTGCTTCAAATGTCGCAGATGTGCATTTCCCCAAGCTGGCTTCGGGCTAGGCCTACACAAAGGAACATGATCAACAATGATGTTATGGATAATCCGAGTGAAGCGATCAACAGCATCGTCCACATCTCCGGAAGTGTCCAAATGTGCCCAGTCTGTATGGTAAAGTGCATCCACCATTCATTCGAAATCTGCCCTGCAAAAATCATAACCTGGATCTTCGGGAAAGTCCTTGTAGGTTTACCTGGGTCCTTGCTGAAGAAACTTTGGTGGAGGTGAACGCTCTACACTAGCGTAACAACGATTGTTGGTGTCCAACTCAATCGTTCGATGATTGATCGACAGGGAACGGATCAATGATGGGCACGCAAATCTTCACCGCATATTACGGACAACAGGTGAAGGGTACAAGTTCTTCCTTCATTATACAAATAACATTAACACACAAGTTTTGTACGAAACACAAACTCTAACTACACTACATTTATTCTGAACAGACTACACCACAAATTACAATAATATTTCTCGGTCTCGCAGGACCGTCTTCGACCTTGTGCCACTTATCAACTAAAATACAAAATATCCGTTATCTACTCTCTAACCCGATCCCAGTATCCCATCGTGTATGTGGTGAGTTTCACAAGAGATCGAATCGTAGACCAAATCTCTCGCTCTCATCGTCCACCTCATCTCCCGTGTGCTAATGAAAGCGAAAGTGATCTGGATCTACAATCAACTGCTGGTCGATCGATGGCCAGTACAATAGCCAGAGCCATCATCTGGTCGGCTGTTACGGTGATAGTATTGTGCTACGGTGGTCCTCACAGACAGTCCTCAAAATCGAAACCTCTAGAAACGTTGACTTCGACTGTTAATGGAGGGTGATCAGCATCGAGAATAGATAAAGATTCCGTAGCCGCTGATATCGAGCATCTTTCAAGTGTCGTATCATTCACCAGAGCTAGATGCAAGAGGCGACCATTTCGGTTGTCGATTGTATTGATTTGTGTTAGGCCATGCAGACTAAATCCGTTGAGTAATGCAGCACAAGCGACATATATGTTGGATTGCAATACATCTACTGTTGGTTGACCGTTTCTTGAAGAGTCCCAAACTAAACCAGATTGATTGTAATCTCCTAGTAGAGCAATCGGTGGGAACTAACGATTTTAAATTGGCTCACTACTTGACTAGCCTATTGGTCCCAAGCAAATCGATTAACTAACCCCATGCCAGTCGAAATTCTAGTACTACACTATGTTTGTTTTGATTCGCTATGAAAGTTTGACAGATAATATGAGGGGCTCGTGAATTTTCCTATGTTTCGAGTGGTGCATCGATTAGCTTTGTACCGAAGATAGTACCAGAGCTGAGCCAAAAAGATGAGCACGTTTCTTTTGGACCTTCTGGTCTTAGAGTTACCTCTATGGTAGAAGTGCGTGGTCGTTTGCACCAACACGTGTAAGTACAGCTCCAATGGATTCGACATGATTCGTTATGCTGCTCAAATCAGCCTTACGATCCGGTGGTAGGTAAATGACTCCAATGCTAACGGTACAGTTAGATAATTTAAGCTTTACCCAAAGCTGTTCAAGCGACGCATCGACAGGAGTAGGGTCAAGACAACAATTCAGATCAGATGAAATAGCGACTACCCAAATTTGGGTGGAATCCACCCAGATCTGTCAAAACTGAACGTACCCAAAAATGGGCAAATTAACAAAGTCGATCGTAGTTGAAGATGCTAATTTCAAATAACAGACTGTAGTGGTAATTTTTATACGATAGATGGAGTAGATTAAAGCATAGAGTTGATAGTTCCGTTAGAGTACGGCAGTGTGAAGATTGCATATAGATATTAGAATAGCGAAAAAGTCGATCGGATTCATGTCGATGTTGTTCATTTGTAAAATTGTAACTGCCAACACAGTTTACCCATTTTTGGGTAGGTTCAGTTTTGACCGATCTGGGTGGATTCTGCCCAAATAATTGCACCTGATTTGACAATAAAAGAATAGCAACCGTGGGCGGTCAATCATGCTAATGCCGCTCATGCTCTTCTTAGACATTATTTTGATAAAATTAGCCGTTTCCAAGTTATAATTTTCTTAGCTTGTTTTGGTCACTATCGAAATTGGCTGCGTAAAAATATATTGGAAAGGTAGTTTTTAATTTTTTTTTTTTTGCAATACCGGAAGGACAAAAATCATTCGATCCTGGCAATTTAGAAGACTGTCCGAGAGCCTGATCTTCGCCTGGCAACATCGGTCCAATTAGAACGTATTTTTCGCAAGCAGGTCATATATTAAGCGCTTTCAGGAGCTGTCTGATCTAGAATCATGTTAATCGTATGACATATTTGCATGGGTCCTCATTTAGCTCAGTCGGTAAAGGCGCATTGCCAAAGCAAGACTATGTTGGAGGTGGCTGTGTTCGATTTCTTGTCTGGTATAAACAATTTTTGGGTTGGAAAATTTCTCGACTTCCCTGGGTATAGAGTATGATTGTACTGGTCACACAATTATATTAATGCAAAAATGATACGGGCATCGAAAGCTCTCAATTAATAACTGCGGAAGCGCATCTAGAACACTAAGTTGAGAGCGCGCAATAAGCTAATATGTGATAAGCAATAAGCCTAAAATGCGAATAGGAAGAAGAAGAAGAATAGGAAGAAGAAGAAGAATAGGAAGAAGAAGAAGAATATTTGCAATATGTACCCATGGTGCATTTAAACACTACTGAAAGGCTCACAAAAATGGCCAATATCGATAATTTGAAAACTGATACGTCACCGATAACTATATTGAAAGCAAACTATATCGTTGTAACGATAAATCCCTTGATTTACGCAGCCCTACTTTCAGTAGTTATTTTTCGCACCAGAAGGCATCGAACCACCCTGCTGCAAACCCGCAGATGAGGAACGCTCACATACAAACAGCAAACAACATCGGTTTCGGTTTCATCAATTCTCACGTGTTCTGAAACCAACCTACCATTCACACGTTTTAACATGATTTTCTTAGATAGTATCTTCGTAGATCCACTTATGTTGGTTTGTTTGTTTTTTTCGTGATTCAAAATCAATTATGATCATTTTCTTTATCACTTCATTAACGATTTAGCTCATTGCGTAATTACACTACACTACATTATCGTCACTGCATTTTCTGAAGCAAACAGGGGATTGGAGTCTAATGTTGGCTTATGATCTAAAGATTGGGTCCATAGATACAACTCTTCTATTTTTAATTCTCACCTAGATGGATGGACAGTACAAATAGCTATTTTTGGTTGCCGAAGAAAAGCGGGTCAAAAATGTCGTAATTCTATCAACCCTAACAAGTTTGTGTTATTTAACTGAAAACAAAGACCAATCTTCTCTATTGTCTCTGCTTTAAAGCTCATGTTTGGGTCATCAAATTTATTTGTGTTCGATGAATCTGTGTGTATGAAGTCGTTACTACATTTTATGAAGAATACCATCGAAGTTAGTTGAAATATTACCAATGTACCGTAATACGCTACCACGTGAACAATTTGATTCATGGCTGTTAGAATGTACCGATTCAAACCGGCAAATTCCGAATCCTTCCAAGAATCACGTTACCACACCAACTGCACTGAAACAAACACTCACTACAACCAGCCTTGTAAGCTTCTTTATCCTTCTAACGGCTAGAAGACAGTCAGATGGTGCCAAGCCAACAACTATCACCGAGCCATGGAAGTGATTTGTTTACCCTTTGTCTCGTTATCAACTCAGTGCCTTCATATCATCCTCGGCGGTGAGAAATATACTAGGATCTTCTATACGATCCGTCTCCGCCGCCACTGCTGGTTGATAGTTTATCAAAATGCAAATATTGTCTTCCTATGACGATCGACGTTAATCCAATCACACACTGAACAAGAACTTACCTGAAGTGTACATACTGGCTGACGCCGACGACCGACTTGCTTACGAGGAACTTCAGATACAACTCACGCCATAGATTTCCGAGAAAAACGGATCTTTGGAAGGCCCTCACGTGGAACGCACAAAGTACGACCGACCGTTGAGTTGGGCCTTTTGAGGATTCGCTACATTAAAAAAATACTTCCCTCCTGGGCAAAGATAGGCTCTTTGGCCTATACAACTAATGTCGATTGTTTGGAGCACTAGAACGGTTTTTGTTTTTATTTTCTAGCCTAGCTCAAGGAGGTTCTGGGACAAACTTGTTATTCGCAGTGTGCGAAATTGTCATCTGAGAACGCCAGCACTGATTTGCACATACTGAATGGAGGGAAATCTTGTACACGCTCAACAGCTCGATGGGTGATCGATTGGCTTTCTATATATGATTATAACACTAGCAGCCGATCGGCCTCTCTTCTCCCGATGTGCACTTGTCGGTACAGATAAACTCTTGAACCTCCTCGGTTCGCCGTAGACAGGCAGCTATCGACTGCTCTCAGTTGCAGTGTAATAAACAATTTGTTTTTTCTCACCAGGCGGGAGTGTTCTATTTAAATAGATTGATGATTCCGTCAGGCCTCTATTGGCGTGGTTTGTTTATGGATGAGTAGCAGCCACACCGCATGGGGGTATAGTGTTATTGCTTCCAACGTGAAATGACTCGAATTACTGTATAGTAGTCTTACAAAACTTCCTGTATCTGCAAACTGCACCGATAGACTGTGCCGAATCGGTTCCAGACGTGGGGGATGTAGAACGAGCGTAATTAAACAGGGAGATTAGGGAGCAAACAACGAGACCTTATCGGCCGCGGGCAAGTATTGGAATCATCGTATCACTGTACTTGTCACGCGTGATTTTGAAATTAGGCTTCTGTAGTGTGCACTGATTTTCCAATCTAATTCCAGTTTTCGACATCTTTGGGTTGAAAAAGGGTCATGATTTAGTACATTATCATCAGCATATCATTACCATTTAATTTTTCAACTTATTTGTAAGTACAGATGGCTCTCGATTTTGGCATGTTTTGATTAAGGCCCCCTTATCACCCGAAAAGCAATGGCCAAGTGGAGCGTGCTGTTCGTTTGGTCTGTAATTTTCCACACGATCCCCATTCAATTTCGATTGAAGATTTCTACTCAACTATTTTTTAAATCCTCTAAAATGACATAAGAATTGTATTTACAAAAATTAAAAATCCCTCCAAATGCATTCAACGGTTTTTTTTCGGATTTCATATCATAATGATTTTGGATCTTCTCCTTTCAAAATAATGTAGAATTTTTTTAATTTTTCTCTTATAATTCCAGGGTTTGTCCTCAGAATTCTATAGAATGATTTGTTTTTTTTTCCATGATTTGTTTTCCGTTGATCTTGTTTTCCGTACTGAGTACCAATGCTACCGACGCCAGCGAGGCAGCTCCCACACCTGGACCCTACCTATCAACCTATCAAATTCATGGACCGGGGTCCAACGGCTTTACTTCCCTTCGGATCAGAGATTGTATGCCTCAGAAAATCCCGACGGCGCCGACTGGGTTCGAACGTTGGCTCTTTGGGGTGAGAAGCAATCACGCTTACCATTACACCACCGGCATCGCTTAAAGAATGATCTGTAATTTATTATTACCCTTAAAATTTTTCCAAATTTAAGAGCCTTGACTACAATGGTGACCTAATTTTGTCAGCCTGTAGGATTCAATTAGTTTCGTTTGGGGTAAAATATATAAAAAAAAATCCAAGAACATCAGTTTTTTTCTATGATTCTTAATAAAATGTAAGTGTAAAGGATAAAAAAATGAAAACATCGGTTTTACGTATTTTATACCCAATTTTTTTGACGTAGGACTACGTTTGTGATTTCTATATAGAAGTAAAAATGAAACATGTAACGAAATTATGGAAGATTTTGCACGTTAATAACTCAGCTGCCCCTGGACCTATTTCAATAAATTTATCACCTCTCGATCAGAAATATGTCTACGCATCGATAGCAATGCTTCCGTCTGTTGATTTTAACTAGAAACTATTGAAAAATTGGTAAATGTCAAGCATTTCCCAAAAGCGTCGAAATAACTAACAAATCCACCAATTGCCATGCAAATGCTGCTTCCCCAACACAATCATCAGAGAATCGTTTCTCGACGAAACATGTCGATGTAGCATTGCTGCTGCCCCAACATCAGAGAGCAGAGTTGCAACGTATCACAATCACGATCGTCAAACAGCTGATGCTAGTAACGCTTGGTATATTTCTATCACTCTTCGTGACCATCCATCAAGTTGACGAAAGAAGTAAAAAGCAACTGGTGAATGTCATCTTCGGTGGTGATCCATCACCGATCTAGTCATTCCCGACAATCACGACACTCATCTGTGCTCGTTTTGAAGCAGTTGTTGCTTTGCTTGCTTTAGTGAGTGTGTTGGTGAGTGAGCCCAACAGCTTCCGTTTAATTTTGCCATCTTTGTTTGTAACTCACACAGTCGCGCGTGCCGAGACGAACTTGGAATGCGTAGGCATTGTTTTCAATTTCTTCTGTCGTTTCGCTTTTTCTCATCATCGTACTGCAGAAGTCTTCACTGTTTTCGTTGTGCTTTACATCATCAGCAGCGAGTGTTACGTTTGGCCTGTGAGCAACAACCATTACTGGTGATTGTTGTTTGCCATGGCTCTAGCTCTCACAAAACGTTCTGTCAGCGATAGTCGGTTGATGCGTTGACGAGTGTCGAGTGAGTGTCATGATATTTTGCATCACTATCGTTAGTAGACGAAACAAGTCGAAGTGGCATTCGCCTCCGATCTTCGGGCGCGTGCGGATAGGGAGGATGCAATTGCATAGCATTTTGCACACTCATCGCCATATTCAGAACCACACGACCACACAAAATGTTCTCCAGAGTTGTAATCTTGAAATCAAACATGGAGGAAAGTGCACTCTACGAAGCACCCGTGTCCAGCATCAGCCGGACCGAGACTCTTCCAAGTGCCCATTCTTCGTAGCACCTTCACAACCAACAAGGTAACCGTAGGGAAACACTAAACCTCAATGACATTTTCGTAAAATCTCTGATGTATTTTTCATTTTCACTCATCTAGTCACATAACCAACAAAGCAACTACCCCTGGGTGGGAGTAGAACCAGCAAAACGGTAGCATTCAAGCTTCTAATCCTGAAGCAATCGGGTCGAGACTCTTCTGAGTGCCCATTTCTCGTAGCAAAGTTGAGGTATCCTTCGCTGCACCTTTTCAACCACCGGGTCAACCCTTGTCCAGTAGTAGCCGGCCCGAGACTCTTCCAAGTGCCGATTCGTCGTTGAGGTATCCTTCACCGCGTCCTTTTAACCCGTCGCAGCCACCTCCAGCCGAGACTCTTGCGAGTGTCCAATCATTGAACCGAAGAATATAGGATTGTCCGGTCCGATTTGATCATCATCTTTCAAAGGCTTTAAGCCTGTACTATCATCGGCCCTTTTAAGGGCCACCAAGATTTTCCAAAAGAGTTAAATTTCTGAACAGGTCCCAATATTCATATCAAAAGGTTCTTTTCAGGGCAATCATAGTCATACTAAAGAGTATAAACAGAGAGAACCCTGCTCAAACTCATATTCCTACACAAAACACAAGTTCCTGCTGCAGTTAAAAATAAAATTTATTATATAAAACCACGTATTCCTACATCACCATTGCTTACAACCCCATAGATCTGTCCCTTGTAGTTTGTAGGTTCCCGGATTAACCTCCAAAATATCAAGAACAAACTCAAAATTGGCACTTTAACGGTTCTTTCGGATTCTCCTGATAACATATCAATAAGTGCAGTTTCATGAACTGACCACATTTACGGTTGTTTCGGTTCTTCCAGAAGTGCATCATGTGGTCTTCAGGTTCTGTATTCTAGTAACAACTTCTGAAATAATGCTGGCCCCTTGGGTACATGTTCCGGTTACAATTCCAAGTCCATTCTGACAACACACCAACAACCTAGGACTTGTTTCATGAACATATCACTTCTACGTTCGTTCCTAATACACCTGAAGAACATACTGTAGTCTCTAAGTGTAGGTCCATTTCCCGGTCACAATCATGCTTGATGGAGCTTCAATCGCGAGTTTGAAATGAGCCTAGCGTAGCATTTTTCTGACGAGTAGAATGCCTACTGCCAAATCATTCCACTGAGCTTCAGAGCTTGTGAGCGAAAGTGGATAAAATAAGAGTGAAGTTTCCTGCTATTCATGTTCATGTTTTCTATCACACGCGCTTACTCTCACTCTGGGTGAACTCTGAGCTTCTTGCGTCGAACAAAAAAGTCATCCGGAGTTTCGAAAAGCGCACTCTCCCTCTCTCTCTCGAGGAGTTTTTGTTTACTTCTTCCATATTCCTGCCGACACTCACTCGAGGTGAGGGCTGGCTAAACTCGCAGGACAAGAGTGTTTTAAAACCTCCAGTGAGTTTGAGGAGTTTCAGCAAGCCTGGTCACAAATTGAAATTCACTTTGATAACACATCAATAAGTGCTTTCGAAAAAAACTGCGAAGGTCCAACCCCAGTTTTGTGAATTGGCCATTTTTACGGTTGTTCTGGATCTACCGGACTCTAAATGGTTAGGTTTTCTATATTATGAAGGCTTTCAGCCTGAGGCTGTTAGAAAAAAAAATCCGCGGAGCTCTAGGAATAGCTTCATGAATTGACCATTTTTACGGTTGATCCGAATCTTCCGGAGGAACTCACTTTGACCCTCGATGTCCACCACTTAAAAATAATTATGACAACACATCAAGAAGTGCTATAGAAAACTCTAGGACCAGTTTTATGAATTGACCACTTCTACGGTTGTTCCGGAATTTTCAGAGATTCATCCTGTAGGGTCCATGTTCCGGTCACAACTCCAAATCCATTATGACAACTCTTCAAATAAAAGGGGAAAAAGCTAAAAAAAAAACATTCAAAAAATGTCCCGATATTGTCACCCCTAAATGCAGCATGATGCTGACCAAATTGGGACATCACGGTTATAACTCCAGGGTCCATAGATATGTTTTTTTTTTTTTGATATTATAAATTTTATAAAATCTCTCGTTTTAATCATGTTTTTATCTTAATCTAGGATCAAGAAGATTATTATTATTTTTAGTCACAAATATTGAAGAAAAGTTGTAGTCAAGACTCTACACAACTTTCTCTAAATCTCATTTGTGTCAAGTTAATTTTTCCTAAAACATTTTTTTTTTCAATTCAATCTCTCATTCTTTAGTATTTGTTCAGTTATTTTTAGTAATTTTGAGTTTTAAAGAACTTTGTCTCAGACGTCATTTCGATCAGAAGTGACGTTTTAGTGCTACAACTGATTGAAAAATGCCAAAGATGCCATTTTGAAAAAAAAAAACCTGATCCTAATTTGTCGTTTTTTTTTGCAAAAATGTGAATGACCTAGGACACATAATTATGCAAAGTTTCAAGCAAATCGGAAAAGGTTTAATCCTAAATTTTTATTTTATATCCTATTTGACCTGGAACTGGTCTTAAATAACATGCCACTAAGTTTTGGTATGCATGCAGAATGAATACAGTATTTTTAATGCCACCATTTATTTTATTTTTCATCTTACTTGATTTTTTAAACAAGATGCATTGAAT